TTGCCTATACGAAGCTCTGCTTCTTTCGTACTGTGTCTCTCCAATATGCTGCTAATTAAATGCAATGTTTCTAGAGATAGAACTGCTTATACCTTTCATCAAATGTTAAATAAGATAAGCAGTGTTATCATTCCAAGCAGAAGCAGGGATGGTTGCTTCCATCATCTCCCATATACCACCTTTCTTTAGGCCCTGAAGGTCACATATACTGTAAATGGCATGGGCTGGATTATCAGGCAGACTCCTAGACTGAGTTTCCCTATCCCTGCTCAAAATGCTCCTATCATAAAACCATTATTAATTGTGTGTATTATTATTTATTAGAGCTAAGCTTAGTATTAATATGCCACAAACAAAATCTAAAATTGACTTCAAATCTAACTCTGGACAGTACTGCCAAATTAAAACATTTAAGCCCAAAGACTTTAGAACATTTTAACATCAATTATGGCAGTAAGGACCAAAGGAGAAAGAAACTGGTATAAGACTGTATCTGTTATACAACAAAGCACAGGCTTGTAGAAATACAAATCTTAAACCAGGACTGTCAGCTTAGAAGCTTCAGGAAGAGTAGAAGCATCCTCTTCCTTAAGCCCTGTTCTTTTGTGCCATATTGGACACCAGGGCCACTCCCAGTGTAGAATATTTTACTCACTGGATATTTTTAATCCTACTTAAGGACAGTAATGGATTTCCTGTTTAATCTCTGGGTAGCAACTGAAGGTAAAGGTAAAGCTCTTGTGAATCAAGTTCAGCATCTTGCAACTACATGATATGTTTGTTCATAATGCTTACAAGAGGAAAGCTGTTATTTCTCTTAAATGGTAATTGGTTTTCACACACATATGCAGAATCATTTGGTGAGACTGCTGTGGTTGAAACAAGCTAAATATATACATGATTTTAACTTCTTCATAAATGACTTGAAGTTAGGAGTGAATAATGAAATTATTAAGTTTACAGACAAAAGTTACACAGGTGATTAAAGCAAAATGCCTCCAAAGGTTATCCACATAGTAAGTAAATCATTATGGCAAACATACTTCAGTGCAAATAAGTATAAAATGATGCATTTTGTGATTTAAAAAAATCAGCATGCATCAGAGGATTAATATATAGTACAATATTTTGTTACAGGCCCTATTTGTTGTAGATCTCTATAGGGGTAATGTTTACTATTTTCCACTTCCTTCGTGCAATTTTGATTATTTTAATTGCTCCTCCAATTGATTTTATTTAAAAAAAATCCAATTATCTTACGAAAAGGAACTCACACACAT